TAAAAAAATATAAAAAGTATATCTTTAAATTACTTTTATTTATTATATTTTTATATTTTATAATTAGAATTATTTAAAAATACTAATTTTGTCTAATATTATTTTTAAATAAAAGAATTAAATATAGTTATATAATATATTATATATATATAATTATATATAAAACTAATTAGCCTATATAAATATATATAAAATAAGTTTTATTTATTTTATAAATAAATAATTAAATCTTAACTTATTTATATATATATATATTTATTTAATAAAATTTAAATATATATAAAAGATTTTCCTAAAATATATTTTTATTTTTATTAAAAATATAATTTCTTAAAAAAAATCCTAAAAGCTTTATTAATAATTTTTATAAAAATATTATTAAAAGCTTTTATTAAATATAATAACTTATAATTTATAAAATAATTATATATTATTAGATTTAAAAAAGTTATATATAATAGCCTAAATTAAAAGTAATATTTAAATATTATAGAAAACTTTATATTATAAAAAATTAAATTATTTTTAAATTATTTTTATAAATTATTTTAATTTATAAAATATATAATAAATTTCTTTTTAAATATATTAAATATATAAAGCTTTATTAATTATTTAAAAAGTAATATTATAATAATTATTATATTTATAGAAAATTATTACATTTATAGAAAATTATTATATTTATAGAAAATTATTATATTTATAGAAAATTATTTAAATATCTAATTATAATTTCTATATAAAATATATTTATAATTAAATAGCTAGTATTTTTATTTCTATTTTATATAATATATTAAATAATTATTCTAGAAATAATTATATTAAATTAGAAATTTATATTTATATTTAATTTTTAAAGCAAATTTTATATAAGAATTAATATTAAGTTTAAGCTTTTAATAATTAGTTATTTTTAAATAAATAATTAGAAATTATTAATTAATATTTTAATTAAAAATTATATTTATATATTAATTATTATTAAAATAACTAAAATAAATAAATAATAATAATTAATTATTAATAAGTTTTTTTTAATATAAAACTATTAGCTAGTTCTTATTTATAATTAAAAAAAACTATAAGTTTTATATTTCTTTAAACTAGAACCTTTTTATTAAAGCCAGTTTATTTAAAGAAAAACCAAATAGAAATAAAACTAAAATATTAATTAATTAATTATATAAATTATAGTAATTTGCCTAAAATTATATAAAATAAATATAATATATAATATATAATATAAATTAATAAATATTATTATTTAATTAATTTCAAAATTAGAAATAAAATATAAGTTATTATAAAATACTAGAAATCTAATTATTTGAATTAAAAGCTAGAAAACTAAATAAAGAATTTATTTAAGAATTTAAAATAATATATATATTTTTTTCTTTTTTCTAAAATTATTAGAAATTATAAAAATATATCTAGTTTTTTATATAAAAAAGCTATAAAAGAATTATTAGAATTTTTTATTAAATTAAATAAATCCGGAATTACTTTTATTAATATTAAAAATAAAAAATAAAAAATAATTATTAAATAAATTATTATAATTAAATTAATAAAAAATAAATTAATAAATTAGTTAAAATAAGAATATAATATAATATTTAGCTTTAATATTAAATAATAGCTTTCTGGTTTTATAAAACTTTTATAATAATAATATTAATATATTAGAATTTTTATAATATTTATAAAATTTATATTTAAAATATTAATATATTATAAAATAAATATTATAAAAAGAAAAATTATATATAAAAAGCTATAGTTTTTAATATATAATTGAAATCTTAAAAGTAATATAAATATATAAAGTATTTAGGAAATCTAATATTAGATTAAATTAAAGAATTAATATATAATTAGAAAAAAATCCTATTTTTTATATTTTTTTTTAAAGAAATTCTAATATTAATATAGCTATTTCTTTAGAAGTCATATATATATTTATAAGATTTAGAAAATGAAATATAAATAATAAAATATAAGTAATAAAATAAAAAATATAATTATATAATTTTATATTTTATAAATAATTTAATTAATAAACTAGATTTTATTAAATTTAGTAAATTTAGAAATTATATATTAATATTATAATATTATAATTATTATTTCTAAATAATAATTATTTTATTAATTTAATATATTAATAAATTAATAATTATATTTTTTATTAAATATTAAATAAAAGTTATTATTTTTATTATTTATTTTTAATAAATTATAGAAAATACTAGTTATTATATATAAAATTATAATAATTTTCTAATTTCTAATAAACTTTCTAGTTTGAAATAATATTTAATAATAAATAGTTTTTATTAGTTATTTTTTTTATAAAAAAAACTATTAGTTTTTAATTAAAAATCTTTATTTTTTAATTTTATATATTATTTAATAAAATCTCTAAATAAATCAAATTTCTTATTATTTAAACTTTAAATAATTTGAGTTTTATTTTATTTATTAAATATAAAATACTAGAAATAATTTATTTCTTTATTTTAAATAATAATATATTTCTCTTACTTTCTAATAATTTATTTCTTTATTTTTATTATAAGTTTACTAAAAAAAACTTAAAATCTATTTAATAATTAAAGTTCTAATTAATTATAAATAAAATTATATACTTTTTTAATAATTTTCTATTAAATTTGAAAGAATTTTATATTAGTTTATTTCTTATATTAAATATTTAAATATTTTTATTTATAAATAAAATAAAATTCTTAATTTTAATAAATTATAATTAATTATTATAAATTAAAAATAAAAGAAAGCCTTAATATTAGTTCTTATATAATTCTTTTAATAAAAATTTATAATATTTCTAAATCTTTATTTATTTAAATCTTTATTTATATTAGCTTTTTTTTTTTATATAAAATTAATTAATAATTATTTCTAATTTAATAAATTTTTTAATATATAAATTAATTAATATATAAATAATTTCTATTAAGTCTTATTTATTTTTTAAGATATTTTTATTAATTTTAAGTTTTAAATTAGTTAGCTATTTCTTAATATTTTTTATAAAATAATATTATAATAGCTTTTTTAATAATATAAATTTATAATATTAAAATTCGGCTTTTCTATTTTATTATATTAAAGCTTTTTATTTAATATTAATAAATTATAATTAATTTTTCTGAAATTAGAAAAAAAACTAATTCTTTTATTTTTATTAATATTAAGGAAATATTATTTATTTTAATTAAAAACTAAACTTTAAAATTAACCAAATTATAAAAAATAATATCTTATTTCTTTTATATTAATAAAGAATTAATTATTAAAAAAAAGTATTATTTATTCTAATTAAAAACTAGGTTTTAAAATTAATTAAATTATAAAAAATATTATATTTTTAGCTAAGATCTCTAGTTTTTTATAGTTCGAGAAAGTTATTAAATATTAAAAGTAATATTTTATTTTATTTTTAAAAATAAAAACTTTATTAATAATATTATATTACTTTTATAAGTCAAGTTAAATAAGCTTAGTATTATATAATAACTGAATTAATATAATAGTTAAAGGCTTAAAGTTTAAAGAATCTTATATATTAGAAAATACTAAGCTATAGAATAAAGTAGGGAGGATGCCTCGACCTTTCAGTATTGTCCCGCCCAAGCATTCCGGCTTAGCTTCGTTTTGCACCTGTTTCCGATATCCTGTCCTTGGCAGATTATGCCGTTATGCCAGCCGTCACAGATAGCTGGGGGGTGGGGGTTTCCAGGTGAGAATAAGGCTTGGGAGGGTCCGCGGGAGGAAAGGGAGAGCTCTGCGAGTGGGAGTAAGGCTTGGGAGGGAGTTGCGGGCGAGAGTACGGGTGGTAAGGGGCTTGCGGGGGCAAGTGAGGCTTGGAAGGGCCCGCAAGAGATCCGGGAAAGCCTGCAAGAAACCCGAGTGAGCTCGCAAGAGCCCTGGAAAAGCTCGCAAGAGCAATACTACTCCTCTTGCAATCAAAAGACGCCTCTTGCGGATTTCGGCTAGTTTTTTAGGTATAATACATGCCGGGAACAAAATAAAAGAGCAAACCGGGCCCGGAAAGCAAGGCATAAAAAGGCTATTCCCCCTTGCCCGAAAGCTACAAACGAGCAATTAGAGTATGCAATTCAAGCTCTAGCTCCTACTAGCGAGTATAGGCTTGGTTTGAACTTTGAAGCCCGGCCTATAACTATCCCTTCGTCCGCTGAGACATTGCCACATGCGCGGCCGCTAATGTGGCAATGTCTCAGCGGACGAAGGGATAAAGGATTACTTAAATACAACCTCTTCTTAAAAAAAACATTCAAGTTCTGCACGCTTATACATTATATATTAGTGCGAGCTTACAAGCGCAGTGTGGCTATATTTAATAAAGGAAGAGGAGGGGTGTGGGGGGGGAGGGATTATAAGTGGAGAAGAGAGCTTAATAAGTAAAAGTAGGGCTTAAAATAGCCTATAAAAGGAAATAGAGAGCTTTGCGGGTATAATTAGGGTGTGCGGCAGTCCGCAAAGAGAGAGAGAGAGCTTTGTACCCAAAGAAGAAGTCACCTCTTGATCTCGTAACATAAAACAATACCTAGCTGAGCAAAGCGTAAGCCAATTTGCTCTGGAATGAGCCCATGCCAATGTGAAAGCAACGATCTCTATGGTCGGTCAGCCTGATGAAATGTAATATTTATTGGACTGTATCAAATCTGACCACTTGGCCATGGTCCCAATCCCTCAGATGTTTGCTTCACTACAGGGACACTTTGTATTAATGGAACTTGCACAACTAAACATGGTCTAGCCATATGATACAACCATTTCTGGAAGGCTATGTCACCTTTGACTTCAGGATATAGCGCGAAAAGTCTTCTTTGGGTGAGAAAAGTATACGGAAAGCGTTTGCCAGCTCCTCAAACGAGATCCTTTTACCGTAATGCCGAGCCAGAAACCCGCCTTTGCCGTAATGGCCGTGACTGCTCCTCAAATCTCTACGCAACTCTCCCCTTTACCTGCCTAAGTTCCTTTACCTTGAAATCCTTCCAGACCCCGATGAAAATTAAACAGGGGACCAAGACAACCGTGGCCGCGATCGTTAAATACCACTGCGACTGGCCGTATGCGTAAATAATAGCATTTCTCTCTGGTGAGCCAATAGGATACAAGAGCTGGGCTGTAAGGCTTCCGTAGAGATCAGCATTCAACGTCGCATTACCGGGTAATGCACGGTCTAGCGCTGAAGGAAACGTGTTTGTGTAGATTGCCGCACTGATGGCTTGTCCAATAGCCTAGACGCGAATTCTGGATTAGCAATGCCTCAAAGGGTAGGGCTTGGAATTGGGACGTTTTAAGCACTCTAACTCCAAGACACCCAAATGAGGAGGACAACGCTTCACGAAATTGGAAACGTACTTGGCCAACAGAGCTGAAAAGCCCAATGAGTGCTAGCATACTGGCAACGTTCTCACTAGAACGAATTAGTAAAATATTTCTTTGAGGAGGGCGGAGCACGAGCGAGCCGGAGCGAGCCGGGAGGTGAAACAGGTTCCCGGCCATTGAAATAGGGAGCTCGGGGTGTTGGACAAAAAGATAGGTTCTTTACTGTGGAGCCGCAGCCCTAAATGTGTTGGAGTCAGCATTGCCAACATAGATTGGGATGGAAATGGAACGATGAACTGACATAACTGCCATTTCCTCACATATAATCAGAGATCCCCCTCCAAAGGCGATGAAAATCTGACACATGACGACGTAGCCAATTCCCTGTTCGGGCTGACGGAAATGAATCATGAGGCCCACGCCGAGAATTTCGAGACACAACATCGACATCGCGAGCCACTTGAACCTCCCCAGTGTCCTGATTATCACCGCAAGAATGACGCTCCAAAAACATGATCCGATCGAGTATATCTAATCAACAAAGTTACTTCTGCAAAAACGTGTGAAAGGGGCTTGAGAGAGAGCCAGCTGAGCCATCCAAACCACCTCAAAGAAGCGAGCAACTTTCGGAATATGCGAAGGAGAATACGTGGCCCAGGAAATGGATGACTTACGTTGGTGACATATCCTGTGTTGGTGATGGACAGGTTATGAACTGCTTGCAAGTAATTGTAGAAGGTCGAGTCCCAGATGCTGAGAGTAATCAGTATCTGTAATGCTGCGAGGTCATGTGTAACTCACTAGAAGCTAACGAATAGGAACATTGCCAACAAGCATGCCCCGACCACCGAAGGGGTCTTCAGAAGATCGAATGGAATGAAAGACCTCTTCGATAGAAATTTCTCGTAGAGCACGAAGGCGGTCAGACACGAAATGCCAACGACGAGCATCGCAATAATCATCCCGGAAGCCCAACCTTTCGATTGATAAGTAGCCAGTGAGAATGGTAGTAGGAAGAGAACGAATCCGGCTGAGATGAGTAGGAGCCCAACAACTAGAGAGTGGGAGATTAGTTTCCAGCTGAATATTTCGCCAAGAGGTAGACCGACCATCAAATTCCCAGAAGAAGAAATTGGCATTCTGCCAGAAGGTTCTTCCGCTCTCTTCCTTGACAAGAAGACCTTCTCGGAAAGCTTTTCGCTGATTGCTGTAGAGAACGAAGAGGATAGGGAGGGTTATGATAGGAGTTATAATTGCGAATGTGCCCTAGATCATCTCTGAGTCAGTGACTTTCTCATTTCAAATGCCCTAAGGTTATATCGAACAGTAGGGTCTCTTGCTGGAAACTCTGGGAACACATGGGGTGAAGCAGAATAGTCTCGGAACTTGGAAGAGAAGCTTGAGAATCGATGGCACTTACAAAGCCAAAACGCCAGCCCGATGTTTCTAGAAAACTTTGCGCGGCTCGTGGACCAATAAAAGTAGTCACTATATATGGGGTAGTCGCGAAGCTGAATACCAAAGCACGGTTCTTCGGGCTTGAGGTGTCTGCCACTGGGGTGGGGTCAGCATCTTCGGCTTGCGAACTAATTTGAATGGGCAACTTACTGAACACGTCTAAAACATAAGCCATGCCGTTAAACCCAACCCAATAGAAAACCTGGGCAGCAATTAGTACATAGCCATTTGGACGTGATTAGAAACTTACCTGGGCTGCTGCATAGGTCTCCACGTTGCGGCAGCTCGCCATCATGATGAGCTAATAAGAATCAGCACAACACGATCCAAAGAGCTTCGAAAGAGCTGCGAGCTTCGGGGCTGTTTTGCTTCTAGGCGCAAGCACACACCGCCTATGACGGTTCCCGAGCTTGCTCTTGCTCTCCGTAGAGAGGAGGATAACCCAGAGAGTGTAGATGGACGCTTACCCTGCAGACTGTAAGTACACGAAAGGTCTCACCGAAGGTGCTCCTTACCCCAAAGTTGCGAAGCCCGTCATAATTCTTCTGCCGTTAGCCTCAACGTGAAGAGAATCTGAATTCCGAGGACAACGTACGCAAATCCTTCTGCCCAGTGAATTAGCACTGTAAAATCCCAAAAAAGCGCGAGGGACCTGAGCGCTTGGGAGCCGCCCTGCTCCTGGCTCTTCCAGGTGAAAACAGAAAATCAGTATGGGAATAGGCTTACCTGCACGGCCAATAAGATCTACGAATTTAGCAGTGGGCTAAACATCCTAGCAGTCAGTATTGTCAAGGCAAAAAGAGCTCCATTGTGCTGGTGTTCCTAGGACATTCCGTGCATGAAATAAGACGTTCCACAATTCGCACAGGAAGTCTGAGTGAGTGGAAATGTGGTGGAGGATATATATACCAATTTGATAACACCTCCGACAATAGCGGCGACAATAGAAGTTGTACCAGTGAGAGGGAGCAAGGCAAAAGAAGAAGTCACATAGTAGCTGAGGTTGAATTGGATTTGTTGCTGCATGGATATGACAAAAAACACTAGGAAGATACTGGGAGCAAGTCAGCTTGAGATTTTCATGATTGACGGTACGAGTGCAATTCTTGCCAGCCGTAAGCTATGATCAATTGGTTTCTCGTCCAGGTCAGAGTGACGGCTTCGGCTTTCTTGACACCGTCTTGGACGTTTTGACTGGGTATGCGTTCGAGAGCATCGGCATCGACACCAGGAGTGTTGTGTTTCTCTGTAGTATTATCTGAGTCTGACAATCCACCGACTGCAACTTCTGTAGCCAGAGCTTTGCCTCTTCCGAAGAACTTCATCTTGGAGATCTTGGCGATGAAAGTGAGGGAGTTGCAAGGAACGAAAATGCGCAGAAAGAAGAAGGGACGGCGGAGACTTGAGCGGAGAGCAAAGTTTATGTAGAGTGATGAGCGACGGGCAACAGGGTTTCTGAAGAATTGGTTGTTGGCCTTGGCTTTGCAGAGCCCACCTGGTGCACCTTGGCTGCATGGCTGGCTCCTTCTGCAGGTGGATCCTCAACCCCATGGCAAGCGCCATCCACCACGCCGCCACGCCTCCTCCTCCTCCTCCTCCTCCCTCCTCCTCCTGAGATGGCTCTCTCGGGATCGTCCATGTTTTCATCTGGTTGTTTAGACCGCATATTAGATAAGATTGCAGCCCCCTTCCTGCGCCGAGAAATGTATCTTGCCCTTTGGTCGGAAGTGGGGAGGGGCTGCTGAAATTCTCCACGAGGTTCCTGCTCGTGATTTCGAGATCGGTCCTAGATCATCTGATAAGCAGCCGAGCATCCTGGTTCCCTTCGCTCCCAGTGGAGCAGCATTTGGTGAAATGGCCGCGTTCGGCGCATCCCAGCAAGTGTTGCGTGTGTGAGAATCTTAAGAGAAAAGATGTTAGAGGCTGCGCCGAGGAGAGTTCGGAGATGATCGGAGAGTCTTCGTTTCCCGTTACGTGATGGGAAGATCAGATAAGATCCATCTGATTAGATTCTGCGCGCCGGCTAGCAAGGGTGCTTACCGCCACCGACGGCAAGGGGCTTGAATGCGGAAGGCGAGAAAGGGTACGAGTACGAGGCATGGGAGGGAGATGATGTAGAATTGGTGAGGTGTGCCTCCAGAGAATTGGCACAGGGTTCTGTCGTCGCCTGAGGCACCTGAGCTTTCAAGGCGAGGCGGGGAACGCGGAGGGCTGAAAGGCTGAAAGGCTGAAAGGCTGACAGGTCTTCTCGTAGAAAATATCCCACTCGGGCAGAAGGAAATATTCCCAATCTCCACCGCACGTCCAATAAGCATATTACAAGTTGCAACTTGAACGTTCAAATGAGGAGCCAAAGCTTTCTGAGGGTCTCTTTCGTCGTTCGTTTGATGCTTTGAATCTTTGACCGATGTGGCTCTGGCCTCGTGAGATACAAGGCACTGAAGTTGTGCAAACAAATCATTCACCCCTGCCATGTGCAAATCCCGAACTTGCTGGGGTTCAAAACCACAGACGTAATTCCATCGAGATTGCAGCTATCAACTTCAAGATCTTTCCTACCTACATTACTGTCGAAAAATCCTTCGTGATGCTCAGCCATTAATGTTCGGAAAATGCAACTTTTCCATTGCAACCAATTTACAGAGGCCAATGACCGCTTGAGAAGTCGAAAGGCGCGATTAGGAGCAAGTTTGGGAGCAAGGTTGCAACCCCGCTTTGAGAGTGTGCGCGAGCAGACAAACCAGACTTCAGGGGGACTACGAAGTGCTGTCACATGACAAGTAATTCTCCATTACCACGGCAAGTGTCATCTACCAGGAGCCGCATAAGAAGGTGCAAATGCAAAGAGTAAAAGCAAGATTTCGGTAGAAAACTATATAAGATACGAGATTAATTAGATGCCTCAGGCACTTATTTAAGGGATATCAGCTTTACTGACTTTAAATTCACTTTGAAAATTCACTTTTTGAAGGCTAAAAATTTTCCAGGTAAGCTAAATAAGGTAGGTTTTAATTTCGAATTCCAAAGCTTCTTTTCTTTAATAAATACACATATATATACGTAAGTTAATCCCATACCCGCTACGGGCCTGCCCCTGGCCTGTAACGCTCCTTACGGTCCGTAGAATGTCTTCTCTCCCATCTGCTCCCGCTGCTTCAGCAGCACCAGTACCAGCCCCAGCTGCAGCTCCAGCTTCAGCACCACCACCACCACTACTACCACCACCAGCACCAGTAGCAGCAACAGTAGCAATAGCAGCAGCACCAGCACCAGCACCTGCCCTGCCTGCCCTGCCTGCCCTGCCCGCCCGCCCAACCCGTGCCATGACGGCGCTCTCTTTGCTGGCTCCGCTGCGGGTGCCTGTTTTGCGGCCCGGCCGCACCACTAACCCCGCCCGGCCTGCTAACCTGGAGGCTGAGCTTGGCTAATTCATTAGTCAAGTTTATACTACCGGATATATATATTATATTAGCAGATTAGATATATAAATAGTATATATAATTATAGCTAGTTAGTTTAGAAGAAGCTATACTAACTACTATTATAGTAATAAGAATACCTATTATTCTTTTTATAAGTATTTTTTATACTTATTTACTAATTTTTTATAGACTATAACTAACCTAATAAGTACTTATAAGTACTATTACTACTTTCTCTCTTTTTCTAGCTCTAGCTCTAGTTCCTACCTCTATTATTACTAATCTATATTTGCTTTACTAAATTATTTCTAGTAGTTATATAAGTAACTAGATTACTTCTAGTAAATTATCTTTATATATATATATTTATTATAGATTATTATAGATTATAACTAATATATAAATAGCTTATTACCTTATTATTTCTTATTACTATTACTTATTTATTTCCTTTTAAAAAGTATACTATTTTACTAAGCTTTATAGGAAGCTAGTAACTCTTTATAAAGAGAAAATAAAAGTACTAGAGAAGAAAAAAGAAATAAATTACTTAATACTAGAAATAGAAAGAAAAAAAAAAAGAAAGAAAGAAAGAAAGAAAAAAGAAAAGAAAAGAGAAAAAAGAAAAAAGTAAATAAAATAAAGAATTATAAATCCTATAAAGAATTATTTAGAAGAGATATATATTTTTAATATCTAATAATATAGTATTCTTAGTCTATTTAAGTCCTAAAATATTTGAAATAATAATTATAAGTTATTTATAAATAGATATAAATACTTATAAATACTTATAAGTAATTATAAATAGTTATAAATCCTTAAATTCCTTAACCCGACTTATAAGGCTATCTAGTACTTATAAGGTACTTATAAGAGATAAAGTACTAAAGTAAATTAGCTAAGATCTTAAGATAAATTATATTAAATATTTTAGATAAGTTCTTATATAATAAAAGAATACTTAAGTCTTTTATAAATAATATACGAGAAATCCCTATATGAAATTACTTATAAGTAAATATAGGTATTTATAAATCTAAACTAATAATATAAAAGAACTAATCTTATAACTTATTAATAGTTATTATAAAATATAAATAAACTAGAAACTATTTCCGGGAAAAAGTAATTTCTAGGCTAGTATTTTATAATATATATAGGGTTATATATAACTTAAGGGCATATAATAAACCTCGAATATTACAGGTATTAATTAGGGAATTTAGTAGCCCTTTAATATCTTAACTAACTACTATTTATATTATATATATTAGACTTATAAATTACTAATTATATATATGCTATTAGGGCCTCTTATTTAGAGAGGGCTTCCCTGGACCTTATAAGAGAAATAGAGATTAGTTCTATACTAAATTTAATACTATAGTTTTATAATATACTAATTTATTCTATTATCTTATTACTTACTAATAAATACCTTATAAGCTAATCTCTTTACTCTTAAAGAAGGTAATTTAATAAGTAATTATATTTCGAAATCTGTAAAATATATAATTCCTTACTAAAGCTATTCCTATAAAGGAAGTTAACTAGATTAACCCCGATATAAGTAATAGTAAAAGCTTGTCTAATACTTTTAATAGGGCTCCTTAGGAGCCTCCGAGAGCTAGTAATAATAACGGAAATAATTCCGGTAATAATTAAGATACCGAGATTAATACCCGAGTTACTATTACCTAAGCTATAAAATAGGGCTTATATACTAAAGTTAAAGCGCTCTAATAAAAGCAAGAATTAGTAAATATAATTAACTAACGTATTTTATAATTAGAGTAATATAAGAGTATTCTTAGGAATACCTTATAGTTTACTATATCTCGTAAAAACTTTATTTATAAGTCTATCCTATTTTCCTTAATAATTCCTATTAGAGAACTTCCTAAAATAAAGTTAGAACCTATTTCCTTTCCTAATATAATAAGCTTTTATAAGTAATCTTAATACTATTTATTAGGAGCTACTATATAATATCCTAAAAATATATTTGAACTAAAAAAAGCTTCTTAAGGTCCGGATATCTAATTTATATTATGAAAAGTCTCTTAAAAAATAGAGAATATTCGTATTTTTCTAGGAAGTAGTTTTTAGAACCTAATTTTAAACTTATAATAAATACTCTTCTAAAATTAACTTTATTATAAGTACTTTTAGGAATAAACCTTATAATACTTAAGAGGCTATAATAAAGTAAAGCCTACTATTATATAAGGTCTATTAGAAGTAATTTAAGGCCTACTTAGCTAATATACTTTAAGTACCTCAAACCTATTAATAAAATACCTTTAAGGAACTTCGAGATCTTTATTAGAAAAATAATAAGATAATTACTAAGTTATATATTCGGATAATTAGTCTCGAAATTAACTAGGACCTATATCCTAAAAGAGACCAGGTCCGGACTCTTAATATTACTTTATCTAATTATAAGACTTATTAGATACTTATATTTATTTTTTTAAGAAATAAGGTAATATTTATTTCCAAGTAATTTAAGAAAGCTTAAAAAGCAAAGTATATTATTTATCCTAAATTAAGAAAAGCAAAAACGGAAAAGTCTAGTAAGAGTAATTTTGCTTTTAAAGACCCTAACTTAGTAAATTCTAATTTATAAGGCTATTAAAAAAGAAAGAATAAGTTCTAAAGATTATATAAGAAATCTTTAGGTAATACTTTGGCTTTTTTAAGGCTTTAATAAAGTACTAGTTCTATTTTAGGTATAGTTTATTAGACTTATAAATAAAAAGAATACTTCTCAGGAAATATAAAGTATTCTAAGTATACTAAATAGGCTCGGCAGAACCCTAATAAGGCTAAAACTATAGAAGAGTTAAGGTATTTATAAAAGCAGATTAATACTATAGCTATAAAAAAGTATTCTA